AGACCAAACGGGACTGTGTCTGCAGAGGAGAGAGTCATTCACATCGAATTCGGCCTGCACGTGGTAGCAGAGCTTGTGCTGAGCACAGGAGAGGGAGATAAATGATCAGCCATGGCTGCTGTCCTTTCCCTGGGATGCCCTGTGCTGGCCCACGCTCATACTGCAGCCCAGTTTCACCCAGTGTATTCAAAAAGTGTGTTAGCTCTCCCTTCCCTTTGCTTAACAGGTTTATTCCTTCATCAGACATGCACTAGAAAAAGCTCTCCTTTCCCTACTTTTTTTTTCTATCATGTTCATAGGAAAACTTATCTAACTGGCTCTCTTCCCCCAAGTATAAATGACAGGGGGCACACGCTGCTGGATAACCAAGCAGAGCAGCCAAAAAAACCCTTTCCCACCGATAGCAGCAGGCACTGACTGGATGCTGTGCAGTCAGTAACTCCAGTGGTCTCCCTCTGACCTGTGGGCACTGCCAGCTAAAATTTCAGCCCAAACCAATAGCATGGTAGAGCAGTCCATCCACGCAAATTTACAGGTGTGTATCTCAGCTAGCTGCCTTCCACATGAGCAGCATGGGGAGGAGGAGGAATAGCAGGTCCAGAGATGCTCACGGGTGGTACCACCTTGGTGCTCGTGTTGCCCAACCCTACTGTGTGGCCAGAGCTGCTTCCCAGGGTGCCTCGCTGCTCTGCTGCCACCCACGTTTGCAGGTGTTTGGCTACGGGGTGTCCATCACCCCAACGTGAATCCTGCTCCCACACAAGCTGCTTCCCACTGTGTGCCTGCAGCAGCCTCCCTGGAGTGGCTCAGATGCTCTTATTCGCCTGGATTGGTTTATTTATTGCCACCATTAATTAATTTTGTTTGGGTAGGAAGGACAAGTCCCCTGAGACTGTCTGCACACTGGAGACCATTACTGCATTGGTGTCTGAAAGCTTCAGTGCACAAAAACCCCTTGCTGCTGTCAGCCTGGCACAATTAATCAACTGGCACCATTCAGAAGCTGCAGTCCAGTGTGTCTCTATTGTATAACGAGCCTCTTTACTTAAAGCCTCACTTAGGGTAAAAAGGCATGGGGTTCAGAGGCATGCCTACTGCTAGGACCCCAAAGCTACACCAAATACACCATCTTTTCCTAAGAAAGGGCCCAGGCATTGCATGGAAAGGCTACCCATCTCTCCAGGTGGTACTCGTGCTGCCCCCCTCCTGTTGAAGGACCCCGAGGTGGGAGCTACTGCTCCCATCTTCTGCTGTGTGATGGCTCCTGGGGCTGTCAGCTTAGCTGAAAAGCCAAAATGGAAGCTTGCGATGGTCCCTCTTGACTTGGCCCAAATTCAGGCTCTGCATCCTTTTTACAAGAGCAGAAGAGAACAACCCTTGCTTTCTTCAGGCTGTGCTGCTGTCTTGGCACACGTAGCTGGTCCTGGAGCACAACAGCAAGCGAAAAGAAGCGGGAGCTGGTTGGTTTTATATGCTATCAGGAGCACATTTCTCAGTAATACAGTGACCTAATCTCACTGTTATTGATTTTGAGCTATATATATATATACATATACACACAGGGGGAGAGACACGTGCTGCTGAAAATACAAAATCCTGAACTCCTAGAAGGGCAAAAATTGTTTCCTCCAGGTTTGTTTTCAAGCCCAAGGAAACAAAGGAGCAGGCAGAGAGTTTGACCCAGCTCGTAGTGGGTCTATGAAATGGGTCCCTGTTCCCAGCCCCGGCAGTGCTGCAGGAGCATGGTGCATGCTGTATTTAAGTAGGTGCTCCTTCCCCGGGCTGGAGTTATTCAGCTGCCCAAGAACATTGCTTTCTGTTGTTATTGCTGCCCTCCCTGGAATATGCAAAGTGGGAAGAGAAAAGCCCCAGCAAATTAGGCAGAGCAGTTTATCTGACAGGCCAGCGCTCTCCCGGATAAAGGAACAAACAGAGTTTGTCTCGTGGTCCAGGTGACACTTTGCCACAAAAGAAGAGCAGGGAGAAGTTAATTAAACTCTAAAGAAGCCATTTATTAGAAAAGGAAAGTAAGACATGGCTTTTCTTCAATACTGGAGAAAGGTTCATTATAGAGAGAAACCATTCTTTAGCAGTTAATAAACTATTTTCTACCACCTAGCTTTGAAGAACGGCTAATGGAGTGTCCATGGCTCATTTTAATGTGCAGTTTTGCAAGGTGTCCATGGCCCATTGGCTAAAACAGTTTAGAAAACAGCTGCCTCTGAAAACTAGGGAACTGGAGAGCTTGGCAGGTCTGTAACCGAAGGTAGAGCCTTTGGTGCATCATTTTCCATTTGCCCTGCATACGCAACTGCCATGAAGTCCCTACCGGGCTCTGTTCCTGATGGGGTGTGCTGGTGGATGTTCTGTCACTGGCCAGAAAGGACCTTTCTCTGTCCATACACAGACCGGCAGCCCTCATCGGGCAGGCTGGGTACCAGCTGGAGCACATCTGGAATGCTTATCCAGATGTGCTGGCAGGGGCAGCCTTTTTCTGCTGAGGGCTGACACTTTAAATAATTCGTTGCCACTGGATAGATTTTAAAAACAAAAAAGCCAACCAAACGTGATTTTGGATGACATGGACCCATCTTACAGAGCCAGACACTCAAATAGCAACTATAAAGCCCCAGTATCTCCTTACTGAGAAACCATTTAAATCCTGAGTCTCTGTTTGCTCCTGGTTGGAAAATAAAATCCTCTTATTTGCCTCAGTCTGAAAGGACCCACTTTCATGGAGGAGCTGGTAAGTACGACAGTTACAGCTCCAGAGAAAACTTTACAAGCAATGGAAAAGGCTACTTATTCTAGAGAGGCCTTTTCTTATTTCAGCTTATGTTAGCTACACTAAAATTCAACAACCTTATTATCTATGAAGCCAGTATGCATGGAGGCAGATGTGACTGTTTCCCACCTGCACCTTGCTCTTCTATGGAAGATGCTGCCTTGAGAAGATGCTTATGCACTTGATGATACAGCATCAACATGCATTTCACTGTGCATCAATCCGGCTGCATCTCCCTGAATTCGGGGAGTCCAAGTGGGTCAGGGGAAAAAAATGAAACAACAGTGTTTGCTGGCAACGCTGAGTTAATACCAAAAAGATTAAAATACAGCCAACCCCCAAGAATGGGAAAGGACCTTATGATACTTAGTGAGCGGATAATAAAACGGCAGATGAAATTCAAGGCTGCTAAATGAAAACAATGCACAGGGGAAAAATCATTCTGACTTTACACATACAGTGATGGGCTCTGAACTGGCTATTACTGCTCAGGAAGGAGATCTGAGAGTTATGCTAGAAATATCTATCAAAATGACAGTTCATGCTCTGTAGTAGTGTAAAAAACAAATATAGTGATAGGAATTACAGGGAGGTAAGAGAGAGTGAAATGGGGAATATTACTATGCTGCTTAATGAATGCCTGGCATATCCCACCTTGAATAATCTGTGAGTAGGTCTGGTTTTCCCACCCCAAAAAGTGGATGGGAAGAAGCCTAGGAAATTATCCACCGAAGGCAAGGATTGATAAAGGTGGGGCCAGATATGAAGTCATGTGTATCGTAGAGCTGAAGAATTAATTGGCAACGATTGCTCAGTTCCAGAAACAGTTGGTATCAGGAGCAGGGAACACCTAGAGAAGTTCCAAGAGAGGCACAGGCCAATGCTTTACCCAGCACCCAGTTAAAAAGTAGGACTCACTGCCATGGGAAATTATAGGTACTGAAAGCTTACATAGACTGGGAAAGTGGTTAGATATTTTCACAGGTAAAAGCGATGCTGTGTGTGATGAAATGGTTGTTTCTCCCCATCCTGGTGCGGGGTGCCTGCATGGTTTGACCAACAAAAGGAGCTTCACTGGTGGCTCGCTAGGACCTGCTCTGTGCCACCAGAAGGAACCGATGGTCCCATCCAGCTGGTGGCTTCAGCTTTCTGCCTTTTCCACCTCCGTCCAGACCTGCTGACCTCATTTCAGAGGCTTCTGAGCAGACTGGCATGCTCCCAAACACCATCTCTGAAATGGTTCATTTGGCCAAGCATGGAATTCCAGTTAATTATTATTTTTACTGTGAGTATTTAAAGAGTGTGCTGAAGGCATCTGTGGTGTTTTCCCTGTATTGCAAATATATCAGGAGGAACCCCGCAGCCTGCCAGGCTACCCGCCCTCTCCCCACGGGGTATGTGGGATCTGGGTCTCCTTCCCTGCCGCAGAGCGGGCACAAGCAGAGCCCGGGCAGGCTTTTGCAGACGCAATAGTCCTCAGACCTGGGAGGCGACGCTTCATTCCTAGCGGAGCCCAGCTGCCGGAAATAATCTGCCCAGTGGTCCACTTTATGGCCGGGCAGACAGACTGAAATTCATGGCCACCACTTACCAAGGAATAATGAAACATTTCCTGAGACAGCAATAAATATCTCCTGCCATGACAACACTTACCAGTACCTCTTCGATCCAGGAAAATGTTTTAAAACTCAGCAAAGTGGGATTTTTTTAATGCCTCTCTACTTGCTCATTGCAGTTGCCCTGGCTGCTCCCAGTTGGTGCTGGGGGAGCGGCGTGATATGGCTCATGGCTCCCTGGGGAGCTCCAGCTCTGGCCCAAAAGTGGGTGCTGGGGGGTAAGCTCCTTTCTGGGCTGCTCCTATGGACTGGGTAGCTGTCCACCATCCTCCTCCTCCTCCCATCTGGGGCCTTCATCAAATGCCCCTGACGCTGACTAAAACAATGTGAGTGAGTAGCTTTATCAGTTACAAGGGATCAATAACCCCTGGCTTGTATTCTTCAGTCTAAGAAAGTCTGAATAACATGGGGCAGGGGAGATCCGAATAGTCATCACCGATCAATAGCTCTCCCCATGTAAGCATGCAATGGGTCAGTGGGTGAGGGTCATTTATCAATGCCACCCTGTCCCTCCCTCCCCAGCATCGCCTCGTGTCGTCCTCAGCAGCTGCAATTAATCCGTCCCCGTAATGCAGAGTGAAGCAGCGCTACTTGCTCACCTCCGCTCTCGCCCACGCCGCCTCCAAACAGCATCATGTCCATTTAGCGGTGCTTAATGATAAACAAGTGAGCCAGACGGATGCACTCACGTGCTTACATGGCCGTCTGGGTGTCGAGGAAGTAAAGCTGCATTTGAAAGATGTCCTTGAGCCAGGAGGATGACCAGGAGGAAAACTCCTTCTCCCCGGGTTGATGGAAAGGAAGAGGTTTGCAGCTGCTGTTCCCTAAAAAGGTGCTTCGTTCTGGTCCAGAGCAGCCATTTCCCACCGTGAGGAGAGGCTGACGGCATGGTTCATGCCAGGGTCTGCTGGAAATACACTGCACGCTCAACACAGCCCGCTTGGCTCCTTCCCCCAAGGACAGTTTTCCAACAGTAAGGGTGCACAGTGTGACTTCTTGGTGTCAGGCTGACACAGATTGCAAATAAAAGCCACTAACTAGCAAAAATTATCTCTGAGAGCCTCCGGGCCATAACATGAGGCTCAGGGAAGCCCAGCCAAATGTGGTCAAGTCCTCTTTAGGCAGCAGCAGGGCTGACTATAGTGGATGCAAGCCAGTCTGCACTGGTTTCTCCAAGGGGTTAGGCTCCCTCCAGCCCACAAAGACAGAACTGCCACAGCCAGGAGAAAACTTCATCAGTGCCCACCATGCTGGGGACTCATCCTGCCTCTCCCCATGCTGAGGATAACCAGCCCTCCATGGCACAGAGCCACGGCATGGTGGCTACACCCCATGCCCCAGTGCACAGGGCAAGGGCAAAACCAGGAGGAGATGGGGATGCACCAGGCTGGGCCAGGGTCAGCACAGGGCTTGGAGGGGTTTTGCCACCTCTGAGCTGGACGAGAGGGTAGCGATGGCCATTCTGGGAAGAAATGCTCTTAGCAACCCTGGCCACAGAGGGAAAAGAAAGTGTTTGGTAGCAGAAGAAAAGCTGATGATGGAAAAAGCATGGAGAAGTGATGGATTTTTAAAACCCAGATAGTGAATCAGTCTCATTGCTGTGGTCACTTTAAAACGGATCAGCAGAAATAAAGTGGGTTTAAATCTATAGCAGCTTGGGGAACCCTGAGCAGGAAAATGAAGCCGGCAGTGTGATAACTTGCTTGCGAGCTGGTCAGAGTACAGCCTGTGAGCATGCCTTGGCTGGGAAACACGGTAGAGGTCTGCTCTGTGGCATGTCTAGCATGCAGCAGAGCTGCGCTATGCACCGTGCAGCGATGCCCAGCACAGCAGGCAACCTCCCAGCACAGCCTGCACCGTAACATTTCAGTCCCCCACATCTTCCTGCCTTCCTCAGAGATGATAACAGCTATAGGCAGCACAAGAAGAGCAGGGGAACATGCAGCAGGGCACGATGGGGAAGAAGGAGACATCAGATGGCAGCAACCAACAGAGAAGATGATTGACTTAATGGGATCAGCCCTCATTTTGTTCTTATTATCAGCATCTTGGGAGTGCAGCTTCTCTAATTAATTCCTTTGGTCTCTAAAGCATGCAGCTGAGGCCTGTCTCCCATCAGCAACTGCTTGCACTAGTGCTGGTGGGTTAGGGCAGGCAGAGAAGCATGGAGGTCCCTATGCAGGCACTCAGTGCTAGATATCTCTCTACAAACCTCTTCTCAAGCAGTTTAGCTCTCCTTTGGAGGAGTGAAAGGTCTCAGTGGGTTTTAATAACTCAAAAGGGAGGGCTTTTCTTCCTGATGTTATTATGGTGAGGTTTTTTTGGTTTATTTTGCAATACATTTACAATGTTATTCTGTTCAAGTTATGGGGGGTGGGAATGGCTATTTCTTAATCCTGCTTGGGAAA